GTAATGTAAAGCACTCTGGAGTCTTGTTAGGCATTTTATGAAATCTTCAAGAAAAAAGTCAAAGTCGCTAAAGCTAAAAATTTCCTCGTGAAGATAAGCAAGTGGAATGTCATGCTGCATTCTGAAGTTATTCCAAAAGGGATTTGAATAAAATTGTACTCATCTCCCATTATTTCACTGATTTAATTTTGTGATACAAAATTATACAAACAATCAAATGCTTGTGTTTTTTTACTCCTGTGCCACCCCCCACATGTCCCCTGTTCCCTCCAAAAAAAAAAAAAAAAAAGCCCCTCTAGCTGTTGCAGGCCAGCAATCAATCCAATTTACTGCAGGTACAATTTATATGTACAGCGCATGCCACAACAAAACCACAGTATGATGCCAACACGGCCCTTAAGAAAGTTTTCCCCTAAATCTCTGGAAAGGAGCTTTGAAAGAAAGCAAGGATTACAGTCAGCTAGAAGGTAGGGAGGGGACTTACCTCAAACCCAGCCAGGCGGAAACCAGGGCAGTAATTCTACAAGTCGACAGAGTACACTTTCAAAGCTATAATGGTGTGAAGAGTGCTGGGCAGCATGGCCTGAAGGCAGCACTAATACACTGATGACTAATGGCTGGGCCGGGGCAGACAATGAATTTGGGGCTTGAAAACTAACAGAAACCATGCAGTACTTTGACAAATGGGCTTTCACAATTTCATTCATTGAATAACCTTTAAACACAAAATTGGCTCAGGTTCTCTTGGGAATGATATGACATGTTGTTGGACAATGTTGTAAGTATTTTCTTTTTTAATGATGACTCTGGTGCAAAATGCAAAAGCACCCTATATGAGGACACGACTGTAGATAGCACAGATGCAGATGTGGAGCTCAACACAATATTGCCTTTCAGGAGGGGGCTGAAGTGTTCCAATGCCACCTTATTAACTATGTAATGGCTTTTTCATTCAACTTCTTTAGAAAGCCATAGATTTTCTGAGACGTTTTGTCGGGTTGAAATATACACCCACAGAACAAAACACACTTTCACATTTAAAAAAAAGGGGTGGGGGAAGGCAGTGGTAATGAGTAGCTTAAAAATTTGGCACTAAAATATCGAACATTGAGAATTACAAGTGGAAAAAGTCTAATTTTCAGGGGCTAGGCAGAGGAAGCGTGTCATAAAACAAGTGAGACACCATGTAAACTTTGCAATCAACTGCATTTACAAACACATTTAACATCCAATTTCTCCCAAACAGCTCTCCTCCCCCTTCTCTCCGTAACTAGCCTTTTGATTTAAAAATAATAATTTGGGCAATTTTTAAAGAGCGAATGAAATATCTAAAGTGTCTCTAAATTAACAAGTACCACTTACTCCAGACAGGATTGCCTTTAGCAGGTCCTAAAAACTTAAGAAAAGGATCTTAAAACAGGAAGCTTAGTGAGCTCATAAAACTGTTGTTGGAGCCAGGAACACATAGCATATTTAATCTGCAAACTGTGAGAGTCCACAGTGATTTCAGTAAGATCTGAGGCATGCCCTCAAGGTTTGCTGGGATCTGGGATTAGGGGGTTGATAAGAACCTCTACTGCCCATGGACATGTTTTTCTTCTGCAGTTAAACACAAATGCATGGAGACGTTTGACTGCTGCTTGGCGTTACTGCTCAAGTTATATAAAAGCTTTGCAGCTCCTTTTGCTGTCAATATATCAAAGTTTAAAAAAAATCATCAAAGTGTGAAATTTCATTTAAAGTCTTCGCCAGTCTACAGCTCTATTTCACAGGCCCATCAAATAAAAGTAAAGATGAAAAATACACTGAAAGTACTTGAAAAAGTTTGCAGCAGTATCCCAGCCCTGTTGTTGTTTATTCTGTCTCCCTGTATTTGCTTTGAAACTAGAACAGATCAATTTTCATCTAGAAAAATGACAACACAAACTGAAGGGCAGCATCTTCCTCTATGATTTAACGAAAATGCAACCTGAAGTCATTATTAGAGTGCGATCTTCTGTTTTACAAACATACACAGATACGTGTGTTTCCACATGCATACAGGAGAATGTCTCCTTTATAATCATCTCAGCATTTTAATTGCATCTCCCTGATATAAGTTGGCAGAAAATCTCTTGAATCTTCCAAAACAAATCAGACCGACCTCAGAATATGAATGCCAGCAAAACTAAAACCTCCTTCAAAGACTTCTTTAGCTGGGGATTTACAACAATTGCATAAAGAAGAAAAGTCTGACTTTTAAGATAATCTACTATAGTCTAAAAGCATTAACATTCCATTACTAAGGTTTTCCTGAGCATTTCATGACTCATTGATTCACTTTTCCTTCAAGTCTGGTTTTTCTTAGTATGTTACTGTCTCCTATAAGAGAGTGCATGCAACAATGATCATTAAATTGTTTCCTTTCATAAGCTCCCAAAGTCTATCCTCAAAAAAAAGGGGAGGGGAGGCCCTGGTAAGCAGGATCCCTTCCTTAGAAGGAAGGCAGGGAGCTCTAACTGCCTAGGAAGGCAGGAAGGCTGCAGGTAATTCACTGGCCAAGAAACAAAGGAAAGTCCAACTTTTAGGCTTGGGCATCCCATTGACAAATTAATGATTCTTTCATCAAATAAGTAATGAAATCACTCAACAGAGCCATTTTTCATGAGCACTGAGTGCTCTCATTTCTGTCTCTGGTCCTCTGCAACTTAAACACACATTAAAAGTATGTTTATATCAGGGTTCAATACAAGAATACAAGCACGTTAAAAGCACCGGGAATTGGTAGGCATGTGAGTTAAACCCACTAGCCTATTAACAACAATGCCATCTATACCTTTTAAAGTGTTTCTGCCTGTGTGAAATTTCACTAGACACCTCTCACATTAGACTCACTCACGCATCTTAAACCAAAGCTCCTCTAGGCTGACTTGAAGAATCCTATACCCTGAAAGAATCTCCCCTTAGGCAGGGAATTTCTAATTTAAATAGCTTTTAGTATAAAATAAACCCTCTGCTCTGTATACATTTGCCATTCGAACTAATTTAAATGTTATTTCATGTTTGTTTTAGGTTGGACTGCAGTGGAAGCAGCCAAAGTGTTAGACCCATATTTCCTAACATAAACAAATTCCTCAGATACTTCACACAGTTTACGTTGTTAAAAACAATCACCACTGCCTTAATACCACCCCTCCACTGAAACACTGGTCTGCTCTAGAGACACGAAGAGATTTTTGAGGCTATTCCGCTATTTTAAAACACAGCATTTTCCCTCTTCAAAATAATCTTGACACATGTAATTAAGAAACTGTCAGACTACTATTAATTTTTAATTTAAAACCTAAATGAAATAATTACAGGAATCAATCAATAAGGCACCTAATTCAAATTAGGGAGCAATTACATAAATACTCAAAATTAATACTTTAGGCCAATTCTTGAAGATTTCGGCCTGTAAATGTGCTAAGGCATCAGACAACACACAAAGTGTAACACGCGGTGGAGGAACAGCTCCTGCCTCAACAGCCAGAAATGAGGTGCTTTCGGATGGCCACGGCACAGGCTCCCACCGGCCATGCCCAACGCGCTCCAGCTGGATTTCCTTCCTAAAAAGTTCATTTATTTACACCAGACATATTTCAGGGATCAAACGGCCTCATCCAAATTCTGTACAGAATCAAATTTAGGAAGGAAAGGCCCAATTGTTCGCATTTGGCGGCGAAATAAGCGCACCGTGCTCTGTCCGGAGAGGCAGCATGGAGGGAAAAGGAAGGAAGGGAGAAGGAGAGCGCGGGTGTTCCCAGGACCGTTCCTGCCAGCCCAGCCCCTGCATGCGCACGGCAGCCGGCCCTCCGCAGCCCTCACTAAAGCGCTCTTTGACTTGGAGACGCGGACAGTCCATCATTGCAAACTGAAGTGGCAGCTGGAAAATGTGGAACAGCTGGCAAGGAGCTGGGAGAAAATGTTTTACATAAATATATGTACATACAAACTGGCAGAGGGCCACGAGCACCGTCCCCGAGGCCCGTCTACACCAGGGAGAGGAGGATCAGGGCGCGCTAGGCACCGCGACGGAGAAACCTGCTCAGCGGTGCCTGCACGCGGGGTTAGCGAGGGAAGCCAGGGGCCCCGCGCCTCTCGGGGCTGGCATCTTCCTGCGGAGGCTGCATCTGGCAGTCGGCTGCAAAGTCGCGGCACAGGCTCCCCACGCCTGGGGTCGGCCCTGTCTCCCTCTGCACCTCCTCCCGCCCCGCCTCGGGAGCGTAACTGTCTCCGTAGAGGCATTCACACCCCATTCTGCGCCGTGCAAACGCGGCCTCTTAAAACTAGCAGTGCAAGGACCATGCTTACTTTTACATATGTGTGTGTATATGTATATATATATATATATACATATATATAATTTTTTTCTCTGCCGCCCCTGGAAAGGAAAAGAAATAAGAGTCCCAAATCACACACAGATGGTACAACTTTCACTTTTCCTCCATGACGAACGAGGCGCGCCTCTCCCCGCGCTCACACCAAACCCCCGCCCCCTCCCCGGCCGAGCCCCGGCTGCAGAAGCCCCGCGGCGGCGGTCCCCGCGCGCACCCACCGCGCCGCCCGCCTCTTTCCGCCCGTCCCAGGGCCGTGCGCGCCCGGCACCGGAGCCCAGAGCGCAGAGGAGGGACCCAGGAGCCTGGGGGCTCGCGCGGTCCCTGCGAAGCCTCGGCCAGGGCGGGGGCAAGGGACGCAGCGGTGGCGGTCACGAACTTCTCGCCTCCCGGGCGCGCGAGATGGTCCCGTCCCTCCGCGGATGGCCGGGGCTCGGGCACTAGGGAGCAGGGCGCGAGTCAAACACCCACTCCGACGCCGCACGGGTGGCTCTCCTAACTCCCGGCGCCTCCAGACAGCCATTTTCCACCCGCTCCCGTCCGCCCCGCGCCGTGCGGGGACCCCCTCTGGCCCCAGAGGCGGGGACGCGGCCGCAGGAGCCGGCTGCGGGGCCCGCGAAACAAAGAACTTCTGGCGGGACGTACCTGCGGCGGCGGCGGCTGTCAAGTCCCCGAACTTCCCATAGACCCGCGTCCCAGGCGCGGGCGGGCGGCTCCGGGCTCCGCGCGGTCGCGGGCGGCTCGGGCTACCGCCGGCGGCCGGGCTGGGCGCGGGGTGCGCCCGCCGCGGGCATGGTGCGGCGCGGACGGCCGCGGGGCGCGCGGGCCGGGCGGGAGAGCGGCGCGGGCGGCTGGGAGCGGCGCGAGCGCGCGAGGGCGAGTGTGCGAGCCGCCGGCGGCGCTGGCCCTGCCCGCTCCCGCCCGCCCGCCCGCCCGTGCGGCTCCGGCATCGGTTTCAGGGATCGTGTAATCCGATCCCTTCTGACTCACGGGCCCTGAGTGACAGTTCTGATTTGGTTCACCCGCGGGAGGGAGGGGAGAGGGAAAGAAAGAAACCCCCCCACTGTCTGCCCCTCCGGGCCTGCAGTCGACTTTCGGCAACGAGGTCCCATCCAGGCCTGCAGCCCCGCGCGGGGCGGAGGCGCCCCCCGCCGCGACCCCGCGCTACTCACGGGGCGGAAAAGTTGTCCCTCGGCTCTGCGCGTCCCTCCCGCGCGCCCCCGCCTGCCCCGCTCGCCTCCTCGTCCTCCTCCTCCCCGCGCTCCTCCTCCCCCAACTTTTCACAGATGTTGCCGGACTCCCGGCGCTGCCGCGCGCTCGCGCTCCGGCCGCCCCGCCCCCGCCCCGTCCCTTGTCTCGCCACCACTCCCGGGCTCGGTGGGGACGCCGGCCGCCGCAGGGGGCGAAGTTGGGAAAACTTGGAGCGCGGCTTGCCTTACTTTTGCTTTCTCGCTCCAGGCAGGCCGCGCCGCGGGCCCACGCTGCCCCCGCCCGCTGGGTCCCCGCGCCCGGAGCGGGGCCCTGGTGCGATGCGGGCGGCGGCGGCGGCGAGGAGGAGGAGGAGGAGGCGGCGGCGGCGGCGGCGCGTCGCGGGCCGGGGGCTGCGGGGGGAGCCCGGGCGCTCCGAGCCACGCGCGCGCTCCCTCCCCGCCCTCCGCCCGCTCCGCCCGTCGCCCGTCTTCACACAGACACATTCATGCCTGCTCCTCCTCTTCCCCCTCCTTGACCCCGCGCCCGCTCGGCGCGCCGAGGCCCCACCCACCCGGCGAGGGGAAGGGGGCCCGGGCGTGATGTCAGCGGCGCCCTTGCCGCCCGCGCCCGCCGCACCGCCGGGACGCCCCCCGACCGCGCGCCCGGGCGCCCGCGCTGCGCCCTACCCGGGGCCGTCGGCTCCCCAGTCTTTCGCTCGCTCCCGGCAGGACTCCCCTTCGCTTAAGGCCTCGCAGATCCCCGGCGCTCCCTCAGCCTCCCGTTTCTCCTGGCCAACCCCGAAACTCTCTAGCGCGCGCGCGGGAGGATGAGGATGCTTTTGGAAGTTCAGGGCTGGCCTCTCCACTGGGCTCGTCCGCCCTCGGGGCGTGGGGACTGCCACCGCACAACCTGCTGTCCCCATGGGCCACTTGGTAAAGGACACAGAAACAAAGACCCTGGGCTTGGAGCCTGGACTCCAACGTGCAGCTTTTCCCGGAGCTGCGGAGTGTCCCTGCCCTTGTGTTGTCAGCGGCCCGTGCTAGCACAAGTTATTTTCCCTCCTCCTCCAGTGGCCGGTCCACATTCAGCTGCTCCCTTTCAGTACACTCAGCCTGGACCTGTGGCTTAGAGAGAGAGAGAAAAAGCAGAGGCGCTCTCAGGGGGCAAGAGAGGAAGAAGCGGAAAGAAAGCAAAGACCCCCCCTGGGACATTCCAGCGTCCCTTCCTGCTCTCTGGGGTAAGCGGAGACCCCCACCCCGCCAGCCACAAGTGCCATCGCTGCGGGAGAGTAGGTGCGGGAGTGCTGAAGTGTTGGGATTGGAGGAGCATTTTGAGATTCGAATGCTTCACTGGAGAAATGTTAGCGGAATCGGTGGTGAGAGTCACTGTTGGTTTCCTAGGACTTGTTGCTCGTCACAAAGACCTGAGGAACTTTTGCGCTAGAGGTGGTGGAAATGAAGTAGGACTGGCGGAACTTGCTGGCATTCGTTTAAGATTTCTCTCGACCTCATACCTTTTATTTGTATCTACTTATTTATTTGAAAGGCAAAGAGCCTGAGAGAAAGAGAGAGAGAGAGAGAGAGAGAGAGAGAGAGAGAATGTTTCATCTACTGGTTAACTCTCCAAAGGCTGGGGTTAGGCCAGACTGAAGCCAGAAGCCCAGAATTCAGTTCAGGTCTCCCACGTGGGTGGCAGGGACTCAAGTACTGGGACCCTGCACAGGAGCAAGGGGGAGAGGCAGTTCCAATCGCAGGGATTCAGATAGGTGATACTGTGCCCCAGGGGGCGCGTGGTAATCAGGGGGCCAAACACCCACCCCGCCTCTTCACTGGTTAGGAGGAGAAACCGCTTGCAGCTGGCCATTGCCCCCTGCGTCCCGTATTGAGTGCTGGCTTCTCAGCTTCAGGTCCAGGTTCCTGGGAACGTGCCTGGGGAGGCAGAGGAAGGTGGGTCCCTGCCGCTCGGTCAGGAGACCCGGATGGAGTTCCAAGTTCCTGGCTTGGCTCTGCCCTGGCTGTTGTGGGCGTTCAGGAATGCACCAGGAGTTAGAACAGCGCCCTCTCTTTCTCCCCCTCCCTCTGTGTCACCACACCTTTCAGATACATAAACATAAGTAAATCCGTAAGAGATAGAAAGATCGCTACTCGTTCATCATAGCGATCTAGAAGTCAGGAAGGGGCCCTGCCTGCCCCTCACTACCTGGCCTCGGGCCCGGGGATTCTCTGAGCCTCCCTGGGCTCTGAGCCCCTTGGTGGCACAGTGTGAGGCGCCACAAGCTCCATACTTCTCAGATGACTGGGTCAGCCGGGAGAACATGTGTAGAACAGCATGAAGGGACACACGTGTGTGAGAATTCTCTAACTGCAGACAACTACGAGCTACTCTTTGCTTCATGCACTCTTGCAGAATCCGTGATTTTTTAAATTCAAGTACTGCTTACACCTCCATCTCATAAATGCAAATAATAAATCCTGATAGCCTCTGTTCACCCAATGGCAAAAAATAAAAAAGGACAGCCAATAAATTAATGAGTAGAATAAACCAGATATTTTGATTCTTCCTTCAGTCTTCTGGCACACTGTGAAACATAAATTTTCAGTTATAAAAAGATAAGGGGCCGGCGCCGGGGCTCAATAGGCTAATCCTCCACCTTGCGGCGCCAGCACACCGGGTTCTAGTCCCGGTCGGGGCGCCGGATTCTGTCCCAGCTGCCCCTCTTCCAGTCCAGCTCTCTGCTATGGCCCAGGAGTGCAGTGGAGGATGGCCCAAGTGCTTAGGCCCTGCACCCCATCGGAGACCAGGATAAGCACCTGGCTCCTGCCTTTGGATCAGCATGGTGCATCGGACGCGGTGGCCATTGGAGGGTGAACCAACGGCAAAAGGAAGACCTTTCTCTCTGTCTCTCTCTCTCTCTCTCTCTCGCTGTCCACTCTGCCTGTCAAAAAAAAAAAAAAAAAAGATAAGAACAAAGAAAAGACAACTAATCTTTCCTCCTTTGCCCATCAGAATAGCTAAAAATCATGCCCTTAATGTTCTTGACCACGAAGAAAAAATTTCTGCTTTAAAGTAAACATGTAAGTGGGCATATTTGTGAAAATCATTGTGAAAAAAGCATTTTGCCTTAATGTGAGCTAAGTAATGCTGTCACACAATGATTTTTGATCTGAGAAAGAACTCTTTTTTCCAAATAAAATTGTATGGAAAATCCCAAAATATAAGAGAGAATAGCTGTGATGAAAGTTGGAGTCAGGTCTCAGAATACAGCCACCTGTGCCTTTCTCTCCTCATCCACTGTCCTTTCTGCAGTGGCTCTTGAAACAGCGCTAAAACACCCAAAGGCGCCCTCCAGCTCCGGGTGGTAGCTCTGTTGAATGATGATCAAGCATTTAGAGACCTGCAAGACTCTGAGGTTGCCCTTCCTTGAGGTCTGAAATGCCACCTTTATAGATTCACTTACTGCCTTTTCTCATCAGTTCTCTTTTCAAATGCAAATGTCTTAGGAATTTTTAATATAGTAAGTTCTCAAAATAATTAAGCATTTAAGGCAGTTTTTTTTCCCCCAGCAATGAAGGAGGAGACTTGAAGATACTTGTGTACTTGTGTTAGTTTCCTGGGGCTACTATAACAAACCATCATCACAAACTGGTTAGGTTCAACAACAACAGTGTATTATACATGTTTGGAGGATGGATGTCCAAAACTGATGTTAGGCAGGCACCTGCTACCTCTGAAACCTGTAAGGGAAAATGCTTCCTAGTTCCTTGCTGGTTTCTGGTGGGACTGTCAATCTGTGGTGTCTTGGCTTGCAGCTGCTTCGCTCCAGTGTCTGCCTCTGTCATCATAGGGTATCTCCCTTTGTCTCTTGCTCTCTGTCTTCCTAAAAGGGCAAAAGTTATATTGGATTAGAGGCCCACTCTACTTTAGTATGACCTCATCTGAACTAATTACATCAGCAACAGCCCTGTTTCCAAGTCAGACTGGATTCTGAGGTTCCTGGGGGTTAGGACTTCGACATTTTGGCAGAGGGGAGGATGCAATTCAATTCATACCAACTCTGAAAGACACAGTGGGAAGAGAATGCAGGATGTGCCACTGAGAGGACAAAGGCTGAGCCTGAATCCAACTTCACAGGGGCCTCTGCATTTTTTCCCCGTCATGTGTGCCGTGTCACATTGCTGTTCCCCTCACCATGGCAGCTCTCGCATGCCCCTGCGCAGAAGCCCCCCAACTAATTACTGGGAAATTCCAGAGGAATAATTCATGGGCACTGATAACCTTCCGGTTGCAAGTGCTGAAATTCCAGCTCAGGTTGGCTTCAGTTAAATGTGGAAGGGGCAAAGGTGGGTGGCTGATTGACTAAAAAGTCCACACGTATTTATGGAAGCTTCAGGCAAGGCAGGATCCAGGGGCTCGAATAATTTCTTCAGGGTTCTGTTTCTGTCTTTCAGCTCTGCTTTATTTCTCATCACACTAAACTTTCTTTAGACAACTATAGAAGGTGACCGAATGCAGCTGCAGTTTACATAATCAGTCTCACAGTTGGCATTCCCGGAGAATAATCGCTTTTTCTAAGAGGATGTGATATTTCTCTTGTCCAGGCAGGAAGGATAGCTGCACACAGGCCAAC